AATGGCCACCAAAATAACACCCCAGCTTTCCCTTTTCACCCTCTTTCCAAATATGCAAATGGTCTCCTTCAAATCCCGGCCAAAAGCGTCAAATATTAAACCAAAGATTCTCCGGCCAAAATCCAAAGTATGCCAAATAGTCACAAATTAACATCCTAGGTTTGCCTGAGTCTCCTCTACCTAATTCCGTTAACCTCATCCCTCGAATATGTCCGGAAATTCTCAAATCTCAATTTTTAGTTTTCCGGCCAAAAACCCTAGATGTTCTGAAATGATTCAAATGGATGTTACAAGGTCCCAGGGCTTCCTTAGTAGGTTTCTACTATTGTCAGCATTCGAATTTCTCCAGACAGGGTCGAATTGAGACTGCGAGACTTATCCGGATTTTAGTGAGTTCTTTTCTGTTTGATTGATATTTAGTTTTGTTTTTGTTTTGATTGCATGTGATTAAAGAATGTTGCCAAGTTAATTTCTGCTTCTTTCTTAGTCTTAGTTGTTTCCAAATCCATTCTGCCTCTTAGTTATTGAGGGTAATTAGTTGATTCATGTTTGTTATTTGTTCATTTGGGTTCACATATTGATGCGTAATCGTTCAGTGTTAGGATTGTTAGTTGATAATTACATGATTAGTTTAGTGGAATTCTTCAATAGTGATTGTTTTAATTAGTAATCTGATAGTTAATTAGCTTGGTTTGGTTCAACGATTAGATAATTCTCCTTTGTTATTTTTGGTTAATTCCAGGGAATTGGTTATAGTTGATAGTCAATTAGGATAAGAAAGGGGGCTGGGGTCTAGTTAGGGTAATTCAATAATTCCAGAATAAGGGTAGGGGCAATTGGGGTAATTCATGGTATGGAATCTAGCTAGAATTTCCTAGAAGCCTCTAGGTGTGGGGTTAAGGCACATTTCAGTTAAATTAGGGTGTAGACATGAGCAACAAGTTAGAAAATAAAGGGGCTACCTGGTAAATAAAGTATTTTGAGGGCTGCCCTCCCTCATGCCTATAAAATGGCATATGCATTGCCTGGAAAGAGAAGTTTGGGAGCCCCAAAAATTTCCCCAAAAAATATTCTCCAAACTTCCTAGATCTGAAATTCAAATTTCAAACTCCTTTAGATCTTAGGCTTCTCAAATATTCAGAAAAACAACCAAAAAAAAATCAAAAAACAAGTACTGTACATCGATTTCTCTAGGCTAATTTTTGAATATTAATCACTGATTGTCACATTTTGGCACAACTACAATCACTGAAGTTTCAGAGTGTTCTGGATTCCAATTTGAATGAGTTGTTGGGAGAATTTGAGCTATTTGGTTTTATTTTGAATTGGAACTGGTCAGTCGAGTCTGTTTTGGAAATCTGCTGTTGCCGTTACCTTACAATTTATTCCGGGCTGTGTTTGAGTGTGTTTTTGGGTGTAAAATTGGGGCCTATTGAGATTAGATGTTGAATACTGCTGCTGACCTTCCTCTTCTCCTTTATTTCATGTAATCCAGGTATTTTCTCATGCTCAAATGATGCTGAAGATTGCCTTCACCTATAAACCACAAGTCTGAAGTATAAATGATAAAGGGATACATACTTGCACCTGAACTTTACTGTTATTGCTTTTTTTTTAGAATTCTCGTGTGATTGATTTATTTGAACCATAATTTCAGATGTATTAATGAGAATATGGACTGTCAGTGGACTGTTAGTAGATTGTTAATTGATTTTTGGTATTAGATAGATTATCTAGGGCTGTGTTGAATTTCATTTGGAGTTTTAATATAATCCAAGTCCATCCATTGTGTTAGTTTGGATTGGAAAGGGTCTGTACGAGGAAGTGCCCTTGAAATCGTATTTTTCCTTTTTGTAATCAATAATTGGACATCTGATTGTTAGAGGCAATTAACGGAAAGTCAAATATGGTGTCATATGAATCTAAGGATTAAATTGGAACAATATTGCTAGCCTGCCTTGAATCAATATTAACAAAAAACAATTTCAGATTCAATTACTTCTTAGATTAGCCCAACATTTGGTTGATTTGGTCTTTGATTTGAATACATATATGTGACAGCCCGTTAATATGTTAACCAGCCCAAACGTGAAACTGGCATCCGCCACCGGGCTTATCGCAGGCCCAGGCCACCTGACCCTCTGCAATCAAAAAATTTGGACCTCTTATTGGGCTGCTCTTCATGAGCTGGGCTGAGTCAGCCTCGAGGTCCAAGGTCTGGAGGCCTAATGAATTGAGGGCCTGATTTCCTTTAACACTTTAAATAATGATGTATGAGCATGTTAATTAACTAGGGCTATTTCTTTTATTATTAGAGACAAATAAAAATAAAAACCATAGTTGCTTTAGGATTGCTTTTTAATTAACAAAAAGAGATGAGCCTCGCTAAACAAAACACATGATCGCGGGGCCCTCTTTAAATGGTTATATTAAATACTTAGACCTCGGGATGGGCCGTTTAGCGAATTTCACGGCCTTCCCCAAAGATACTAACGCGCTAGTCACTTTAGGCACGTTTTTTAATAATCTTACCTTCTTAAATACGGGTACACATTTATGTGACCCAAATCCAAATCTCAACGAAGTCGAAAATGTGTCAAAAATTGCGGGTGCATTTATGTGACGCGATTCGAGACGTGTTTTCATGACGTTGCAATTCTCTTAAACAATAATAATAAAAGCGGTTCAAAGTTAAAGGCATATAGGTTAAGACATGTATTAAAATCAAACAAGCAAGCCAAATATGACAGTTGAGCGACCGTGCTAAAACCACGGAACTCGAGAATGCCTAACACCTTCTCCCGGGTTAACAGAATTCCTTACTCGGATTTCTGATTCGCGGACTGTTAACAGAGTCATAATTTCCTCGGTTCGGGATTCAACCGGTGACTTGGGACACCATTAATCTCCCAAGTGGCGACTCTGAATCTTAATAACAAATCCCGTTCCGATTGTCCTTTAAGTGGAAAAACTCCTTTACACCCTCTCGGTGTAGCAGAAAAATGAGGTGTGACAGACACATGAAACACTGGGTGTATAGCAGCTAGTCCTTGTGGCAATTCTAACTCATAAGCCACATGTCCGATCCTTCGCAGGATTCTATATGGACCAATATAGCGGGGACTAAGCTTCCCCTTCTTCCCAAATCTCATAACGCCTTTCATGGGCGATACTTTCAGAAACACCCAATCATCAACTTGGAACTCTAAGTCTCTATGCCGCACGTCCGAATAGGACTTTTGGCGACTTTGAGCAGTCTTCAAATGCCCTTGTATCAAGTTGACTTTCTCCATAGCCTAATAGACCAAATCGGGTCCTAACAACTCCGCTTCTCCGACTTCGAACCAACCAATTGGTGATCTACACCCTTGCCCATACAGAGCTTCGTACGGTGCCATCTTGATACTAGAGTGATAGATGTTATTGTAAGCAAACTCAATGAGAGGTAAATGATCGTCCCAATTACCTTTAAAATCAATAACACACGCCCTCAACATATCCTCAAGAGTCTGAATGGTGCGTTCCGCCTGGCCATCTGTCTGAGGATGAAAAGCGGTGCTGAGGTTCACCCTTGTTCCCAATCCCTTCTGAAAGGATTTCCAAAAGTTTGCTGTGAACTGAGCACCACGATCTGAGATAATGGACAAAGGAGTCCCATGCAATCTAACAATTTCTTTGATGTACAACTCGGCATAATCCTCGGCGGAATCTGTATTCTTCACTGGAAAGAAGTGAGCTGACTTGGTAAGTCGGTCTATAATCACCCAAATCGAATCATGCTTCTGGAACGAGCGAGGTAGACCTGTTATGAAGTCCATGTTTATCATCTCCCATTTCCAAATGGGAATTTCTATATTTTGAGTTAAACCGCCAGGTCTCTGGTGTTCGACTTTCACTTGCTGACAATTTGGACACTTAGCCACGAAGTCTGCTATATTCTTCTTCATATCGTTCCACCAATAAACCTCCTTGAGATCATGATACATTTTTGTGGAACCTGGGTGAATAGAATACCTGGAATTGTGGGCTTCTGACATAATCCGCTCTCAGAGCCCATCTACGTCTGGAACGCATAGTCTGCCTCTGTATCTCAAAGTACCATCATCTCCCCCTTGTTCAAAAGCCATTGTCTTGTGTTTGTGAATTCCTTCCTTCAGCTGCAATAAGTAGGGATCACTGAACTGTTTTTCTTTTACTTCGGCTACTAAGGAGGATTCAGCCCTGTTCTGGAGAACAACACCACCATATTCGGAGTCCAAAAGTCGAACTCCTAGATTTGCTAAGCGGTGGACTTCCTTCATCATAGTTTGCTTGTCTGCTTCAACATGAGCTAAGCTTCCCATAGAACGCCGACTGAGAGTATCGGCTACAACATTTGCTTTCCCCGGATGATAGAGGATATCAACATCATAATCCTTAAGTAATTCGAGCCACCTTCTCTGACGTAGATTTAATTCTCTTTGCTAGAAGATGTACTGGAGACTCTTGTGATTTGTAAAAATGTCAACATGTACCC